AAAAAAACTTGTAGAAAAACCATTTCCATCTCTTATTGTTAGACGTGGGAATGTCCAAGAAAAAATAAATGTGATTATATATTAATTGTGGATGTATTATATATTAATTATGTAATTATATATATATATATAAGATTATATATACAATTAAATATGAAATTTGGCGCGATATGATCTTATCTTTATATAATCATGTTCGACTAGATCTGTTTTCATATATAACCAGATTATATAAAGATAAGATCATATCGCTCCAAATTTCGAATATTATATATAATTATATAAAATTAGATATGTTATCAGATTTTTTAAAGCTAATTATGTATTTTCACCTGACCATATTGTATCATTTTTTTCTCGGGCGATTACATCTCGCGACATAGCCAAACGAGAAAAATTGCTATTTGGTCGCATCTTGAAAGCAATTATGTCAAAAGGATCGATAAATCTCGTTTGCCGCGCGCCGACTTTTTAATTGCACCTTTGAGCGAGATTGGGAAAGGTTCGTTTATTGAAATGACCACACATTCTGCGACTCATGCTGAAAATTACAAATTTCTATTAACGAACCGGCATTGCGTCTTCGTCGGAAGAGAAAAATGTACTCTGAGAGAGAAAAAGAGAGACCTAATTTCACAAAGAGAAAGAGAGAGAGAGAGAGAGAGAGAGAGGCGAAAATGAGAATTATTCGATTGGACACCTCCAATTGCATTAAAAATTAAATGCGCGTCATGAGACTGCCGATAACAATCGGCGTTTATCGAAACTTCCCATAAAATCCCGAGGGATGATGGCGATGACACGGAATGAAATATTAATTTAACTTCATGAGTCTGCGAATTTTGTTCCGATTGACGTAATATCGTAATTGATTTTTGTGAATAAAAATACGAATAAAGACGAAAATATCGACGCATCGCGAGTCTATACAGCCAAAAATCTATAAAATAATACGTGAATTCGAATGGGCACGAGAAAGAAAGAGAAAGAAAAAAAGAAAGAAAGAGAGAGAGAGAGAGAGAGAGAGAGAGTTGCAAAAATTTTGTATGTACGAGCACATCCGTCCCGGTTCATGGCCCAGCTTGTTATTTTACGATCGCGGCGTTCATTTTCGTATTCCCCGGGACGAGAGCTATCACGTAGTTGGAAATAAATTCCCATTACGGGTACACGCGGTTGGAGGAGTTTAGCGAGATCGCAAGAAAATGGAAATACACGGGCGCGTGTGTTTTCGACGAGAGCGACGCCGTGAAAAGATTCGCGTGCGAGGATGGTGTTACATGTAGGTACGAGAATCGTTTCTCTCTTTGACTCGGGTCCTCCTTTTACCGTTCCTCCTCTCATCATTTCACAAACGAAATCAGTTCCGTCCGCGGATTTACGGAAAATTTATCTCGCACTTACCGATACGCATGTAGTACACACGTTATAGTCGCGACGCTTCCGGCGATGCATAATATATCTGGATGCATCGGCATAGCTGTTTGTGAATCAAAGGCCCAGTCTATTTTAGCACAGAATACTTTAACCGCACTGGAATCGATGCAATTTCGAGAGCCGTATGACCAAAATTTGTAAAATTTAAATATTAAATTTGATCGACTTAAACACGCATTGATTCGGAACTTTTAAATTTTGCGATCGTCTGTCTCTATGAGAATAATTATGTTTCTTTATGAATATTAATGCAAGCGCGCTAACCTTTGAAAGGAGTTGCATTTCGTTACTTCAATGATGTTAGCGTGTCCGCACTAATTTAGAATAATTAAATGTCACGCATCCGCATAAGAGCTATCTTTACATTTAAAAAAATTATACAGTAATTGTTTGGTGCGCTACGTATTTTAATGCAATGAAAATAACTAGAGAAGTCTGATTGTAGATTTATCTTGTTATATAATATTTTACACGCGTATTAAAAATTTTTATTTACCATACCGTAATAAAAAAATAAATTGTAAATTTATTCTCTTAACCCTTTGAAGACGGCAGACGTATATATAAGTTTTGAGGTTTTTTTTTTCTTCAAAAACAGCAAATATATTGTATATAAGTTTTTAACTTTAATCTATAGATGTTGTATTTTTTCATGTTTTTCACTCATTTTTCTTTTAAAATTTGGAGTTTTCTGAAAATGGAATCAATGTGGTGGCTTCATAGTTCAATTAAGATATAAAAATATATATATATATACAGTGTAATGTTGGTTTCTGTATAATTGATCGCTTCAAGGAATATCATACTTGAGCTCATTTTTGATCAAAACTACATTTGTTTTCATTAAATAAATAATTTTTATAAATTTTGTAAAAGTTAGATACATGCGCGCGTGTCAAAAAAATAAATTGTCCCCTCCAAGAGTTAATTTAGAAATCAACGTCGAAAATCAATTTATGTCACGTTTCTATCGGATCACCTCGCGTTTCAATCGAGTGTGCTATTCGGTTCGAGTAATGGTCGCGCAATAATCTTATCTGCACGATGGGATGAGACTTATGGCCGGATTATTGCCTCTGTCTGCTCCTTTCGGACGCGCTTGGTGAGACGAGATCGGGGGTAGAAACGATTCGTGGGCGGACTGCATAACGGTGTCCCTCCCTCCTCCAGTAAATTATTATAATCTCCCGACGAATAGAACGAATTTTATTTCGAAATCAGTCGCCCGCAGACGTGATCGTAATTCTCATTATTTGCGGGACGCGGAAAAACTTTTTCGTACCGAACTCTGCGAGCACGATCGCGCAGAAATTTACCTCGGAGAGAACTAGATCTGTCAAAAATAATAGGCTTTAGGTAGACCACGCAAAAATTTATGAAAAAATTTGTTTTAAATTGGCCGAAAAATTAGTCGTACAAAAATTAAGATCCAATACACGCGCTGTACATGTAGTTTGTTTGAATGAAAAAACATAATATGCGTTACAATTATTTCTCTCTCTCTCTCTCTCTCCCTCTTTCTTTCTCTCTCGTTTCTTTTAAAATATTTTGTGCTTTTTTAAGAGTAGCAAGAACGATGCGCCGAGATTTCCCGAAAGATCTCCGGGACAAGCTGAGGAGTTTCCGAGGGCAAGGGTGAAATCGTCCGTTTTCTTTTTTGCCCCTTCAATAGGAGAGGAGCGAGCGACGGAATAACGAGACGGGAAGCTATTCCGAAATCTCTCTCCCAGATACAAAGTGAAATTGATGGCCCGTATTTACCGGCGCACGTGTAGATGGGGGGATGTTAGCGGATAGCGCGATACGCCGTCGATCTCATCTGCGATGCACCCTAAACGAGAGAGAGAGAGAAACGGCGCTAATAAAAAAAGGTTTATTAGATGTATATGCTCGATATATCTCTGTAACATGTGTTTTTGACCCTTTGAGGGCGGTTACTTTTTTTTTTTTTTAATCAAAAGCTTTTACAAAATTTATAAAAAAGTATTTATTTAACGAAAACAAACGTAATTTTAATTAAAAATGAGTTAAAGTATAATATTCCATGAAGAAATCAGTCATCACACAGAAACCAACATCACGCTCTACACATTCATACCTTGATTCTGATCTTTTCTCTTCTTTTCTCACTGACTGGCTAGAAACGACACATCTTCTTTGTTTACTTTTTTTACCAGTCTCATATTGAATAAGAAAAGAGAAATGCCCATCAATAAGTCTCTTCGGATATTCTCTTGCATTTGTTTTTCTTCCGGTTTCAATTGATTTCGCATGTTGATTGATGATTTCTTTGATCAATTGAACTCTAAAGTTACCAAATTGATTCGATTTTTGGAAAATTTCAAATTTTAAGAGAAAAATGCACGCATTTCCCTCTTAAAACATGAAAAAATGCCACATCTATCAATTAAAGTTAAAAGCATATATATATATATATTTGCCGTTTTTGAAAAAAACCTTAAAATGTATATATATATATATATATGTCCTCGAAGGATTAACAAACGTACAAATATAGACGCGTTACACATGTTACGTGCCTGTTTGAAGATGGTATACAATATTGCATATTGCTTTACTGATTTATTATTTCCGTTTTACATTTTGCGCGCGACTGTACACTCGACAATTTGCATACGTTCATTCGTTTCCGCGACAATTGCTATCCTAAAGGGATTG